GCAGCATTGGGGGTCCCCAGGAAGCAGGTTGGGGGTTCCCTGGGCAGGGGGCAGCATTGGGGGGGTCCCTGGGGAGCAGCATGGGGGTCTCAGGAGGTCTGGGGGTGCTGAGCCTCGCCAGGGTCACTGACCTTTCTGTCCCCCCCATGGCCAGAGTCTCTATCCCCTGCCCCTGCTCAGCAGTGCACTGGACGACGGCAAAGCCGGGCTGACCCCCTCCACCACGCCGCTCGGCCGGGGCCTGCCCACCCCCCAGCCCTACTCGGCCGGGCCAGGTAAGGGCTGCTCCTCGGCACGCGCCCCCTGCTGGGGGCCTTGGGCAGGCTGGGGCTGGCGCGGGGGGAGGGGACACCAGGGCCCACTGGGGTTCTGTCTCCGCCCATCCCTCAGCCCATCTGGCCAGAGCCCATGGGCCCTTCTCCAGTGCCTGCCCCGCCCCTTGGCCTGAGATCAAAGGGTTTCCCTTCCCCTCCTTCCTCAGTTGGCCCTTTGCTGGGCTGCCAGCTCCGGCTGTGGACAGCTGGGCTGGAGAAGCTCTGCCCAGACTCTCAGACACCCCCTGCCCCCCATCTCCTGGATCCCAGCCTGACATGCTAATGATGCTCCTGCTCAGCCTCAGGGCAGAGAGAGTCGCTTGGCTGTGTGTCCACAGCCCCACACTGCTCCTGGACCATGGGGATTCTCCAGCAACTGGGATTTGACTGGCCCAGGAAGGGGCAGCTGCCTGGCCTCAGGGAGGTGCCAGAGCTGCCCCCCCAGTAGAAAGTTCGGAGTCATCTGCCCCCAAGGGACGATTCTCCCTGACCTATTGGTCCATGACTGGCTCTCACCCTTGGGGTTAGATCCTAGCTGGGCCCATTTACCATCAATGTCTCCTCTGCTCTGGGCCCTTGTGGCTCCAGTACTCTCCAGTGGCAAGGAGTTCCACAGGCTAACAGCATTGGCCACATGCACTTTTCAGGCTCTGAATCGGAATCGGGGCTCCCTTTCCCCATGCCCATCGGGGCTCAGTCCTGGGGTCTGACCCAGTCCTTGGGGAGGAGGGGAGGGCTGGGGCAGAACAGGCCCACTAGAGAACATGGGACCTGCCCTCTCCTCCCCCTTCAGCTGTGGGAGAGGAAATTGCCCACTGGAGGGTGACGGGCTCAGGTTACAGGCCAGCTGTGCAGCTGCTGGGGGAGGGGCATTGTGGGCAATGGGGCACCCCACAGAGCTGGGAATGGGGCGGGGGCAGGGCAGGGCTACTGGCCTAAGCTAGTGACAGAGCTACAGGCTGAGGACGTGATCTCTGTGGCATCTCAGAGCCGCCCCCCCAGCCCCCCCGGCAGTCCCGGCTTGCGGCAGCGCCACTGTCAACAGGGCCCTGGCGGGGGCAGGTGAGGCAGCGGGTAGGGTGGGCACCTGAGCCACGGAGGGCACCTGAGCCACGCCTCGGCAGAGCACTGGGTGCTCATCTCAGCCTGGCACTCACAGCACTGGGGGGGAGGGGCGGGGGCCACAGGGCACCTGGGTCCTAGGTCCAGCCCTGCCCCGACTCCCTGGGGATCTTGGGTAAGTCCCTGCTACACTCTGTGCCTCAGTTTCCCCAGCTGTCCAAGGAGGATCATCAGCCTTTGTGAGGCTGTTTAGACTGGGTCACTGCGGTGCCTGGTGCATCGGGGCCCTGAACTTGGCCGGGGTCTGGGCAGTGCCCGGCCTGGCGGGCCATGATCTCAGCTGAGGTGTGGGCAGTGCCCAGCACGATGGGCCCTGGGCTCAGCTGAGGCTTCTAGGTGCTACCATAATACACATCAGACCATAGGAGCCCGGCCCGGAGCTTTCAGCCACTGACCCTCGTCCCCGTTGTCATGGGCTGGGGGGAGTCCCCGGGGCCGGCACCCCCCCTGCAGCCAGACGGGACTCTCGGGCGGCAGGTAGGAGAGAAGGTGTGACGGCACGTTGGGGGTCCGAGCCGTCAGCACAGCCCAGCCTGGGGGGGCCCAGAGCCCTGCCCGGCCCCCTCGCCGGCCAGACTCCCCTCTCCCTGAGCCAGCCCAAAACTAACTCACCCCCCAGCCACTGGCCCCAGCCCCCCAGGCAGCCCCGCCCCCTCCTTTCTCCTGCTTCTCCAAGGTGTTATCTGTTGTCACCTGGAGGCTGAACATACAGGCACAGAGAGTGGTGCCCAGCCCTCCCCTCCGCATCCAGACAGTGCTGCAGTGCCCAGGGAAACTGAGGCACGCAAACACACACACACACACACACACACACACAGACAGAACAGCACAGGACAGTAGAATCACACACAACACTACAAAGCAACCCAGTGAACACAAAACCAGAGTTACGGCACACCCACCACGTGCCGCCCGCCTCGCCCCGCCGCATTTCACTCCCGCGCTGGCAGGAGGGGTTGATGCCCAGCCCGTGGGGCTGGGGCGGGCGGGCAGGGGGCTCAGATAGGGGGAGAGGGGAGGCAGATGGAGAGATACATGGAGATGGAGTCTCCAGTGCAGAAACACACATCACGAGGCCGGCAGAGGTTGGCGAGGTGCTATATCCCCTGGGGAGCTAGGTGGGCGGAGCCCCAGCTAGGTGGGCGGAGCCCCAGGACGGGGGAAGGATTGGGACCGCAGAGCCCCCACTGAGTAGCTGTTCTACGTGGCTGATCCCAGGCGGGGGGCAGCTGGGCTGGGGCTCCCTTCGGGGCTGCCCCCCACGCGTGTCCTGCCTTTCACCTGCTCGCCCTTCTCCCCTGCAGGGCGCGAGATGGTCAGCTCCACGCTGCCCGGCTACCCCCCGCACATCCCCACCAGCGGGCAGGGCAGCTACGCCTCCTCCGCCATCGCCGGCATGGGGGCCGGGGGGGGC